GATTGATGAGACTATTATACGCAGTTAACAGAGTAATATCCCCCCTCCCCTTTGAATTTGCATGAGTTCGGAACTGCAAACGTTGAAAAAAGGAACTGGAAAGGGGTTCTTGCGTAAAAATAACAATTATTTCGTTTTTTTGTTTTGTATGCCCTGAATACCCAAACATTGGGTCACTCTTCAAAATTCCTTCGACGACACGTTTTATAAACCTTCTAAAAAGTAACTTCTGGAAAATGAAATCTACATGGAAGAGATGGTTCCGCCCGTTCGCGATATTTTCCGTCCACTTTCAAAGTTGCCTTTTTAAGTTGACCGCTCAATATTTCGTACTTCTACAGTGCCTGTAAACTTTGTCACAATGCCTTAAATGTGTGCGAAAAATCATACAATGCTTGGTGGTCACGGTCACGATCAACGATAGGCTAAAATATGAAATTTTTCGATCTTGAACAGAGTCACCTTTCTATCCGGCCTAGGCAATAGCATCCTTCAAGGAAGATGCTTCAAAAAGAGCTGTTGACAGATTGTTAAGCTTAACCCGCAAAGTGTAATCCTTCTTCATTTGAATACTTATGCTGGCTTAGCAGTAGTCATTACAAAGAATGAACAATAGACAAAGCTGAACACAGGTGAGAATGACGCATTTCGCATTTCTCAAACTATTTGGACACTAGCCAAGAGTTCTATTCACAAAATCATTCATTAGAAAGAGGAGGCAGAACTGTGTCATTGTGCCTTGGGTTCCTTCTGCTGTTAGTAATTTTTATTACTTGGTGCCATTTGAACCCAGGTCGCAAAATTCAGAAGACTTCGGAAGTGACCATCATAAGTGTTATCTGAATGCGGACCTTATTCTCAGGATGATTTTGTGCTGCATTAAAAATATCAGATACTGAATATAAAACAAATGCATTTTTACAACGCTTGATGTTGACCAAACTTTCGGTTCACTTTGCCCTTCACGAATAGGAGAAGAGAGTGGCCAGTAAATATGAACACTTTTCAAAACACCCCATAATCAAGTTTTGCCGTTTGAAACTACGCAAACGCAGTGGATATTTGAGCTTTTTATATCAAGAAATAAGATTAGAGAAATTTTCTTTTACAATTACTTACTCAGAAAAACTGGAATATCGCGAAGGGCTGAAATTGCAACTCCTATGCAAACCTTGCAACAGACATTATTTCAAAAATATTTGAAGAGGCTGCATCATCATATCAAAACTCGTCACATACTACAAGTAAGAGTGACGAGTCTCTGACAAAGTGGAGAGCCAAAAAGTCTCTGACGTTAACCCATTCATACTTTATGCCGGATATTTTCTATAGATATGATGAATATAACAAAACTCTTGTGGCTTTTATTAAGAGTCATAAGAATTTTTGTTCTGTGAAGAACAAATGGTGCATAACGCGTGGGATTGCTATTTTTGGACTTATTCCCAGGCATAGTAAGTTGCCAAACTTGTAGAGGAAGTCATAAAACCAACTGAGAAGGAGCTTCATTTGGCGTCTGCTAGATCACAGGTAGGAGTGACTTGGTGGCTAGAGGTAGCTCTTGTTCAGAAAGGCGATTCAAGCCCTGTAAGGCATAACATCCCCTTCAGCTGTTAGCTTGCTTGGACATTTGTTAACAAATTAGATCAGATATTTCCCAAGAAGGTAAAGAAGCTACAGATTTAGGAAACAGCTCAGAATATTTGAGATTTTGTTAGTACGAATGTAGAAAGAATTTCAAATTAGCGTCACTGTATCTTACGCAATATGCTAATTCCAGTGAAGGACCGAGGGTGGGGGCTACTCCGAGAATGGGTCGCGAAATTTTCAAAACTTATATTGAAATGTGCAAACAAGTTGTTAGTTCTTGTAAATAATTAAAAAGTTTTTAAAATTTTTTAAAAAATCAAATTCACGCCCGAAAAAAATTTTGGGGTTATGGGTTCACAAAAATTTTGAGAAACAACTTGCTTGCAATTGTTTAATCTGAAAATAGTACCTACACTACAGGTATCAAACCAGCAATACATTCGAATCCCAGCAAAGATAATTTCCAAAGTCTAAGTTTTCTATATAATCAATCCGATTTCAAATTGTTACAATCTTCGCGAATACTGAAGCACGAAAAGTTAAAAATTAAAAAAGTGCATTTCCAGCTTATGAGTAGCATTAGCGAATGCAGGTGAAAATGTGAAGTTGAGTCAAATGCAAACTTAATATGTCGCAAAGTTTTACAAGTAATGTGTATTCTATACAACTATAGTAATATCTTTTTGAAGTATGACCGCTGCAACGGAATTTTTTCAAAATTTCAGGGCTATAAGCTAGCTATAGGGCTCTGCATGATGCTGAGAATCGGTATGTTTGCGGCCATCGCTCGCGCATTGACTTTCTCAGCTTTCGTTCCCTTTTCAGTTGTTATTTTTCCCTCAGATGACTTTAAATTAGATGAAGCGACTCTGAAAAAGTGGCTTGTTCAACTGATCTGAACCTTGCAGCATCCTGCCTGAGCAAGCGCGGACCCACCACCTTTCGCCATCGTGCAGAGCCTTATACTAATCTGATACTGAAAATTCGCAAAAATTTTCCGAACAGGCACGGCTGTAGCCAATTTGAGTTTCATTTAAAAATTTCCCGACTGTGAACCTACCCGTACCAATTTCTTCAAGAAAGTTTTTCGCAGTGGTTTGGATATCAGTATCAGCGCTTACAATTCTAATTCACCCTTTTTCGACAAACTGATCAGTAAAGGCATAATTGTGGAGCCCTAGCATTGCTTGAAGCTTTGATATATTTTTTGTAATAAATAACACCTTACTGTGTCTCAGGATTCTGTGCATTTCTAAGTTGTGATAATTGAGAAGGATATAAGATGCTTGTGAGTAATCAAGTAGTGGAGTGCGGATGGAAATCCCAGCTTGGTGGACATCGGCTGGATCTGTTTGTTGCTGTAGGATCCGTCGCTATTGAACCGTATCCATTGTCAGGCTAACTGGTGCTTGAACAACAAAGCGCGAGATGAGTGTTGCTCAACAAACCGCGCGTAGTTTGCTCTCAGCGTTCACGATCCGGGATCTGATACCCCAGAGATAATGCCTGTCGAGCATTTGTGCTCCCAGAAACGAAGAACTGTGTTATGTTTTTCCAGAAGAAATATTATTCCTTAGAAACGAAAGTACTACATTTTGGGCGAAAAAGAGAGAGCCGGAGCTTGAGTATCGATTCGCAGAGATAAAAAGCTGAGTGGGCAGCCGTATCTGGAAGACGAGTGCCTGAGGGCCACTCGCTATCGAGCATGCTGGCTAAAACTGAGAAATTATCACTGGTCACGCTATCGTCACTCGCTCTTCGAGGTTCAACGACCCCCATTTGCAGCCAATTCGCTTTGGTCTCCAGTCCTACTAATGAGTGTCAAGACCAATTCTGTTGAATAGCCAAGGCGCGGGGGCGGCTTGGTACGGGGACATGCGAGCAGTGCAGCTGAACATTACATGGAACGAAGTTTGCTAATTTGCATAGAAAAATGTAATGTGACTTGCATTTTGTACGACAAATTGCCCAATCTGTGATTGGAAACGTGGTAAAAGAAAAGGACACAAAATTACCAATTTTCTAAAAATAGTTCATATTATTTATTCATTTTATTCACATTTTATCTGGCTTTGCTGATTTCAGCTCTCAGTTCTGGTGTGACAAATCAGTATCAGAACACTTCACGGTTTTTGACACTTATACCTTATAGGCTGCTGCATGACGAAAACGCAATATTCCTGGGTGCGAACGCGGCTTCATTAGCCGCAGAGCGCCTGAGGTGCAGGGTTTGCAACGGTGAGGATACGCGCGCGTCGCGTCCGCGCCCGCTCAAATAATTCTGCTTCTGCGCGTTCGTCATGCAGTAGCCTTTACTTATAGCACTTCAAACCTGAATTTATAACTATATGCAAGTCAATAGCAAGAGTTTTGTAGCTCTTTAAAGTTCAAATTGATACAAGGGCTTTTGAAATGTTATAATTGTTATTCAAAGTCGTAAGTCGAAGTCGAAAAGAATAATTTCATTTTGCAAGCGATTGAAAATTGAGTAGATCTGGGTAGCTGCCATCAGTGCAATAATTTTTCGTCTCAAGACAACACTGAGCTTCTACGATGTTGCAAAAGTTTCGTTCATTAGCTTTTACTATAACAGTACTGTCTGATACCAACTTGGTTATCTTTTTTTTCTTGAGGGCTGTAGTAAGTGAAAATGCGATAATGTGGACTTATTATTAGCAGACAACGGTGAAATGGGCTCCGTACTGGAAATTTTTGTTCTACCATTCAGAAAGAATTTTGACGCATGCCCTCAAATGTTTTTAGGGAACCCACTCGGTTGTCCTGTAAAGACAGTGCAAATAATCTCATTTTCATGCTGCTCAAGTTCAGCTTGACCTTTTGAACACAGCTTCGAAAGTCCTTGTGAGCTAATATTTCACCATAAAGACTGGAATTTTCTAAAAGAAGGAATCTCTCATGAATTTTTTGTCCGAACACAAATAGGTACCAGTTGCCAGACAGCCAAAAATGACCGTCGTACTTCCACTTACGCAAAATCACACGAAAAATCATAATGAAGAGCTTGATTACACTATGTCTATGAGCATTTTATTCTAGATGTTCTTGTGTGGTACGGCACTATAATCACTATAATCACACTCCGTAGGTCCCTCTGTGGAGAAAAAATTAGCATTATCTTGTTCTTGCAAAAATTCTGCAAGATTCCAGAGAAGTAATGTTGCAAAGCAATGCTGTTTTGGTCGCAAGCCTCAAAGATGGCAAGCATAAGATATGGGCGCTAAAATTATGGCAGAAGAGGGGGAAAAATCCATGTGGGAATTCGTCTCAAGGCTGCCAAACTTGGTGAGATAAATTGAGATGATACTGCATGACGTCGGTAGTGAGAGTCTGCCTACTTTTATCATGCCTTACGACCATTTATAAACATTTCGAACTTGATGCTCAGTTTATTTTGTTTTCTTAGCTATCCGAGGGCAGTTGGTTAGCCAATGAGCACGGCTGGGTATGCTCATGCTTATCTTTGAACGTAGAATTTACGAAGATGATGTGTTCCAGAAGAGTAGAGGCTGCCACGAATCACTATTTGCCAAGATTTGCCAGAATAGCAAAAGAGGCGAAAGTTCGGCAGATCGGCTACAGTGTCGATAGAGATCCATTGACCGGAAGGTAAAGCTACGAATTCCCTTTTGAAAACATAGCTTTCAAATTTAGGATTACTTTCACCTATAATATAACGTGGACAGACGTAGATGACAGCTTGGTGCAAAAATATGAAATTTTGAAGATGAATCTTACCAGAAGAACACCAAGAGCGATGAGAGATGAAGGTAGGAAAGTGGAGGCTCACTTATTTGTGCCTTGTCATCGACACCAAAAATGCTTCGTTTTCGTAAAAATTCGTACAACCTTGGCTAGAGTAGTCTCACTTTCCAATGCGCCTATGAGGATAGCGGAAAAATGATCAAAACTTTCAGCAGCTTATCGAGTGATAACGTTTACTCAAAAAAAAAAGAGTTAGAACTGAAGCGGTGACTGAACTACGAACTATGATGACGAAGGTGATGTAAAGTGCTCTAATTCTGAAGAATAGGTGAGCGTAAACGATTGTTGATGATGATTAGAGATGCATCGTTGCCATTATTGGTGCTAATGGATGACGCGGAGGAGACGAACCTGGATTTTGGTCCTACGCTTTTTCCTTACCTCTAAGCTATGTAGGCTAGGCAGAAGGTTCCTTCTTTACTTTTTGGATTACATCAATCGTTCTGTAAGAGGCTCGAGACTCTTGCGCAGTAAAATATCTTAGTAAATTGTGGTGGACACCCTCCCCACCCCCTGCCACTACTTCCGACCTGTAGATCCAGCAGCTCACAATTGAAATCACAAAACGTCTTTGAGTTCAAGGTCTTCTTTACAAAAAATATTTATGCGCACTTGCGACTATCCCAAGGGGAACTCGAAAGTAAGCGATATAATGAGACAGCCGAATTTGCTATAGGTGGGAGTGAAAAGTTCGCTGCAAGTTTCGCCTTCCAACTTCAATTTGAAATATATGATACCGTTCAAAATTCTTCAAAAATTCAGCGAATTCCAATATAGATGGTGCAAATCCGCGTCGCATAGCCATATCTTGGTTCACAGTAGATGAATCCTGAATAAAGGGCACCGTTCCAGTTCGGCAAGGCCCCTCTTCTGATCTTCCCGTGTATGCAATATAGAAGGTTCAATTGGCTACGTCAGATGCACAGTAGGCGGTCATCATGAAGCTCAAACTACTCCTCACGGTTGGTTACTCGGAGTGCTTCTTCGTTGCACACTGACTGCCCCTGAATCTCTAGGAAATCTGACCGCCTAATGTATCCAAGAAGGCAATTTCATATATCAGAAACCTCCCTCGATGAGCTGAATCAAGCGATGCCCTTGGCTCCAGAATTAATCCACTCTGAACAAAGATAGCGGATGACCGGTTCAGCGAACTCCGGAAGGTTCTGTGACTTTTCTGTACTTATGCGATCGAAGTTACCCCAAGGCGTAATGCCTTTCAAACCACTTTCGGTGCGGAATTGGGAAGAGACTCCCCCCCCCCCTCACGAAAATGGATAGCAAAGTTTTCAAATACTCTCCGCATGAGTCATAAAAATCTATATGTGAGTTGTTTGAACTTATAAATTTGAAATAATTTTTCAAAAATATCACGAAATTCAAATTAGCCGTGCAAAAAAAGATTTCTTCGGCATAGCTGCCGCCACGTCCCTTTTTCTAAAATTTCAGGGTTATGGGCCCGTAAAAATTTGGAAAGCATTCCATCTACTATGGATATCAATGTTGATAGAATAGTATTCAAGCCAATATCACCGGCAGCGTTTTTTGTATATGAATCATCTTTGCTGAATGGAATTTATGGTCCTTTTTATGGACAATGTGTCGTAAATTATCACAAAAAAACATTCCATACAAAGGCGAAGTAATATGTTCAGCGGCTAATTTATGCAAAAGCTCTACTCTATACAAGCTCAACTTCGTTACTAATTCAAAGTCTACAAGAAAATAAAAACTTCGAAGCACTCCAATTGCCTAGGGCTGAGAAATTTTCCATCATTGATGGAGTGTGACATGGGTGAGGAAGGCTTGCGTCACTTTGGATATGTGCTCCGTCACACTTTTTCACTTGAAACGAGAGAAGATAGTGAAAAAGCAAGCAAAAAACAGCCAACTGTATAAACACTTCTAAAATAAGTGCAGAGGTGGATGTAGAATTTATAAGTCACCAAGTTTCGGTTACAAAGGGAGAAAAGCATGTGGCCGAGTCCGATGCTTGCTTAGCAGCTTCTGAAAAAAAGCCATATTCTGTTGTTTTTCCAATTGATCAAAATGAAACTGCTAATTGGTTTTTTATAGTCGACCCTTCAAGATCGCCTCTAGAGATGAAACCATCAGCCCACCTTGTCTTGAATCATCTTAGCCTCACACTGGTGGTTGAATAGCTTGTTGGCGCCATCTATCCAAACTTCGCTCGCCAATCGTTTGTCTCTAAACTTCTATAGTTTCAATAATTGCAAGACACAGATTTGATTTCCAAACACCCAAATAAGCTCAAAATATTTAACAGAACAAGATAGCGAACTCGTGGACCGCACCACAAATTTGGTGTTAAACGGATGTGATATTAAGCAATCATGGCCAACAAAAAAGGGTAACACTAAGGCTACTGCTCCAATAGCACTATTTTCTTCAAAAAAAAAAAACAACAACAGGGTAACAAATGGTGGACCGCACCACAGATTCGAAACCTCGAACTCAGCCGCCGCTCCGTTATACACCGCTCTTTGCAAAAAATAAAGTAAATTAGAAGTCGCGTTGGGAAGCGAGACAGCCAATGATAGTAGAGGTCCCTTACACTAGTTATTGGCTAACACTGCTACCGACACGAATCCGACCGATCTTCTTAGAGGCAACTCTTGAAGGTAATTTTTTTTTTCCGGAAACTGAGCAGGGGGACCTAGCCAAGGCACTGCCCAAACGGCAGCTCAAATCATGCGCCCAAATTTGCCTGGACATTGCCTTTAGTTGTAAGCTGTAGTTCTGAGCCATGAAGTGTTTTCTGACTTATAAATTGCGGCGTTTCATTTTGGCAGTGCAGGTGAAGAATATATTGCTGTAATGTGAAATACATTGACTAATTAATTGTAGTAAAATCATACGCTCGATTCTGCCTTTAAGAGTTGACAAGTCGTCTGCTCAGATGTTTGAAGTGGTGCAATAGTAGTCTATACAGTTTTCTTTCAGAAAGGTCCGGTCTTCCACGATTGATCAAGTGCGATGGAGCCTGCGACAGATGGGCTCCTGAAGACTACATCATTCAGTTCGGGCTTTGCGATCATAACATATGCTATCGATGTTATGAAAACGAAGAGAGTATAGCGCTCACTAACGATGGTTAGCAAAAGTTTATCTGAGCATCATAAAGAGAGAAAGGGAAATTATATTCTGCAGGTTCACGAGGCTGCTGTAACAAAGAGTGTGTAGCGAGAGCCAAAGCAGAACTGGCTTTGAAAACTCCCAAGTATGCTAGAACATGAAAGTAGAAAAAAACAAAAAATTTTTGCATCAGAAGTTCGAAATCGGCCATTGCGCTTGGAAGTAGAGCTTTCTATGTGCCTTTTCCGGGAAAGAAGAAAAGAAGAAAGCTGGAACAGTCGCATGATCGTCGCACCGTGCCAGTAAAGCAAGCAGATGCAAGCAGCAAACCGTGGAAGTCGAAACCACAAGCTATAAATAGCGAAGCGACCTTTTTTGGTGACTATGATGATGCACGTCTCCAAGAAATGGCCGAAACCATGCGATTAGCTAAAGTTTGAGGTGAAGTCCAAAAATCACAAAGCATAATGTTTACAAGCACATTTCAGAACCTCGTCTTCTACATTTTAGGCCCAAAAAATTAAAACGAGAAATTGTCAAGTAAAATGCAAAGTATTTTTGTGTAAATGTTTTTCTGTAAATGGTAGATCTGTGCCTGTATAAATGTGTAATTATATCGTTGGCGTTCGCAACGCGGGACATGGATCTTTTGACGATATTGAGTCACCCACGGAATCGAGTTTACTAATTTCATGAGAAAAGCGCTAGTTGATTGATCCATTGCGCTTATTCTTTTTATCCTCATGGAAAAAAACCGCGATTACTTAGCGGAAAGCTGACTGTTTGCGTGTACATTCGTACCCGTAAGGCCTCAAAGTTTACACAATTTCATCGCCGCGACTCTTCCAACTAGGCAAACAGTTACGAGTTCACTGCATTCCGATCATCTTGCATTTCAGTTGTGATAGTTAGTCATGACTGTTCGTGTTGGAGAACTAACAACCGAATTGCAAAGAGAATGACATGCAATAGACTCGTAGCTGTTTGTTTTGTTAAGGGCCGGGCATACTTCACGCGATTTCAGTCGCGACGCGATTTGGCAATATTTCAACTGTCCATAACTCACTGTAAGCACATTTTAAATGTACAGAATATAGGGCATTTTATCAATCGACGTAAGATGTATACACTATGCATGTGCAGTTTGCTGGTGTTGTATTTGAAGACTTTTGGCGAATTGCCAAATCGCGTCGCGACTGAAATCGCGTGAAGTATGCGCGGCCCCTTAAAGAAATCTCGGCGATGAAATCGCGTGAATCCTAGATTCATCTGTTTGTTGGAGCGATTGTTCGCTAAATGACAACACTTTACTTGATATCAACGCCCCCAATCAGAGCTCGGCACAGGTGGCTTACGGGGCAAGCTGGATATCGTTTTGGAATAAAAAGCAAGAGGGATATCGTTTTTTGGTTGGTTTTTGAGTGGAAACCCCACTCAAAAACCAAAAAATTCTTGACTGGTTCGCCGGTTAAGCGCGCGAATTCATACCTGCCTCGAAATAAACAAAAGACTTGTTTACAGCGAAAAGAAAATGAAATGACACCAAAATTGGTTTGTTAGGAAGTTAGGACTATATACGAATCATGAAAGATCATGCGAAATGAAGGCCTCGCAAACTTTCTTTGAATTTAGGTGGCTTTCCAGCCGGGTGAGTGACTTTTCATACTGAGCAATTCTGCAGCGCCAGGTGTGAACACCTACAGCTAGGTGTGAAGTCTCGCATTTCCGCGTCTTTTACTGTGGGAAGGGGGAAGGGACTTTTCATACGCTTGCTCCCATATATCCTAACCTTTTGGCAACAATCCACTATTGGCACTATACCAGATAAGGGCCGGCTCCACCATGAAATACGATTCACCTGGAACAGCTTTTGCAGTATCGCAAAATCAGGAAAAAATTTGAAGACTGCATGCAATGATTAGCATTTTGTTGAAGAAATACAACACCGTAATACAAAAATAGCAGCCAGAAGTGCTAGAAATTGACTGGAGGCAAAATTGTAGATTTCGTCTCTGCCAAAAATAAACTACGCATGGATCTTACATCGCGCATGATAGTTTCACGTTTCTCTTTTCCATTCGAGTTATCTGCAATTCTTTCTAAAAAGACACTCCTTTTCCATGAATGGCTATACGTTAGAACATCCTGCATTTTACTGTGAAGTTTTCTTACGATACAAATCTAATACATCTCATTGTTCTTTTAGCGTTTTTAGGAAAAGAATTGGTAACATCTAGAATTCTGCTTGAAAGAAGGTCAAAAAATGTGGTTGTATCCAATTGTATGCCTTAAAAATATTTATCTAGTACATTTCTGACTAAAAAGGATTTTTGTGTCCGTTGTAATCGATAAATGGTGGTGATACTAGCATCGTGGCATACCGCCAAAGGTCAAGATGATCAGAGAGCCTTCGTATTAAAAAAATCCCCTTCCCCCCCCCCTAATCGTAGTAGGGAATCTGACTCACTACAGGGGACGAGAGGTGCGAATTAGGTGTAGGGCAGGGCGAAGGATAGGTGTGATCAATCCCCGCCATATGAAAATCCCCCTCCCTTCCAGCCATCTGGGCAGCCACCTGAGGTGGCTATGAAAAGAAAAAGTCGTAAATTTTCCTTCCTTCACATAAATTTCTCACTTTTCAAAATGACTTTGTTCTACATCAAAAACCCTACAACTGAGTTTTTGAATCTCCCTAAACCCCCTCTTCCTCACACAGCCCTCATTATCAAAAAAATCGAAGAAGCCACCTCATTCCGAGCCCTATCTCCATTTCTACCCTTGGAAACCAAATTATACTAGTTCTTACCAACACTGTCTCATGTTCGGGATTCTTGAGAGTACATTGGATTACCCTATCAACTTAGCAAGCCTGTTAACAGATGAAAACCAGTGAGTGCTCGACGATTTGTAAGCTACAACATTCGCGGAGTATCAGATTTGAGAATGAGCAAAGTGGTTAAGTGAACAAAAGAATGTTGGTGGAAGGTGAATTTTCGTATCGGACAGAGGGGAAGGGCAATGGTTCGCGAAAATTTTGGAAATGGCCTACATGTTATAAGTGGTGCGACTTTTTTGTCTATACTCAATTGAAATTGTCTTCATAACATGCTCAAACTTCCAACAATTCAAATGAAACTTATTCCAGGAGACGTTGCCGCCCGCTTGTTTTTAGTTGGAGTTATGAGCATACAATGATTTTGGGCATCTTTAGTATTAGACCGGTCCAAAAGTTCATCACTTTTCCAGACCCATGCTCAAACCACTTAGAATAAAGATAGATAAACGCTGTAAGCACCCTCCGATGCAGAATTTCTTCCTCTTTCTGACAATTATGTTTTTATTCAGATTCCCTTGATGTCCCCTCAATAATCGGCAAGAATCTGCAAGTCACCCATCTTGAGTTTTGCTATTTTCAAAATTTTCATCTTCAGCTTCTGGAACTTTGATAACAGTTGGACATAATAAACAAAATGCAATACAGTAAACTATTTTGGCTACAATTAACTTCTCAGTATTTCTTAAATTTTTAAAAAAACTTATCACTAATTTTAGCATCAAAATTTTTTTTGGTTACAGCCTAATGAGAGAGAGTCTGGAAACAATAATTACAATGATTTTATCCCCAGATATTCTACAAATCAGGAAGAAAAAAAGTCTATCAAACAAAGGAGAAGAGCTGCATCGAATGACACCCTGGTTGCTCGTCGTTTATTGTTCTGTGAGGACTGGGATGCCCAAATATGGATCGACAGCATCAATAAATACTTTCAAAATTTTTGAGAAGCAAGCTAGAGGTGCCAAAACAAGGCATCGTATTGCTTTTTGTTTATTCTATCCAGCTATGATCAAAGCTAGTCTAGAAGTCAAAAATGGAAATTTTATAATTAGCCACAAGTTGGGTAAAGACCATGGGTTAGAGATCACTGTCGATAAAACGGACATCAAGGAAATCTGAACAAGTCCTGATCTGATGATCTATGATCAATTATGATCCACTTTTCTGTCAAATTTGGAGAAAATCTCCGAAAATTTCGCTTTTGGAGCAAATGTTCCGCTTGAATTCGGTTTTTCTCTACAAAATATGAGCGTGAGTGCGGAATAACATTGTGAAAGGAAACTGTATGATGCTTAGGGCAAAAACATATAAGATGGTAACTTCAGCATTTGTGGCTAGAAAGTCCCATCCGAACACTTTAGGCGTGTTTCGTCCCCCTTATCGTCCAGTTTGTCAATTTGTGGGAAATCCTACCACCTCTTCTGGCCATCCTATGTCTACTTTCTCCACAGAAGATCATCTCAACAACTGCTAATCTCCAATATAAGCAAAAAAGGCGACCATCTATCTGGGCCACTTCCCGACCATCTGTGGAAACACTATTTTCATGAAGAGAGAACAACGCCGAGTGACATGGCAATTGCCCAACGGAACGGCTACGCTAAGATCGGCACATTCTCACCAACCGAAGCTAGAGCTTGCGTAATGTCTCAGTAGTCTCTGTCCTTCTGCAGTGGCTCAGATCACCGCTTCTTTCGGGCGACACAGTTGAGTGGAAGCCAAAATAGGAAATCTGTAGTAGCGTTGCAAGAGGGAAGGGGGGGGAGATTGATGATATTTAAAGCTAAGTGGAGCTTATATCAAGTTGTGAATGACCCATCGAAGGGGGCGCAATGTATGAATACGACACTCCTGAAAAGCCTGCGGAGAAACCTGTGTTTTGTGCAAATCTGTGTTCCAACCCAGTAATGAATAAAATCATTGAAGTAATCTGAAAGTAGTGCTTTTTTCGGGCTGGGAGTTCTCTTGCTGATAAACAGTAGAAAATAAGCAAAATTGAAAGTCCTTATGAAAAGTGACTTTCGCATGTTATCTTAACAGCACCTTGCAGCTCCACTCCTAAAATCCTTCGAGCTTCGAAAGGCTTTCGAAAGAGTCAGACAGACTTTTCATAAACCCCAACATTTGTGCTGCTGTAAAGAGTGTAGTCCCTGAAGAAATAACACGCCTTTCAGAAGATTTGAACGTACAGAAATTTTTCGTCAGTTTATACAATATAGGCAGTTTATTTGAAAAAGTGCGACACATTTGCATGAAGAGTGCGAATATTTACAGATTTTCAAGCTGAAAATCAGGTCTTGGTCCACAAATGTTTGGAAATGAAAAAATTCGAGGTAGACTGCATCTGCATGGAGAGAGCGTAAAGAGCTTTATAGGAGTCAACCTCAAAGGTGAGCTCATTCGATTAGAGAGAAAATGTCTCTTGATGATCCTATATCTTCGGCAAAAGCGTCGGGACCACTATGTTATAACTGATTTTGTAACAGTTTCATAACCTCGTGCGGCACAGATATCTCTGTTAGCCACACCTGTTCTACCGGATGGTGCTGCTCAATTGAATTTACTTGAAGCGACGAGCTTTTCCGCACCGCTGAGCCTCGCGAAATGTTCGCTTTCCTATATAAGTCTTCCAGGTAAGGAGCACCAAGGTAAGGGGTCCTTACCGTGGTAACTTCTTGGTGTGTTCAGTCTGTTCCGAATTAAAAAAAAATCAGGTGCATCTTGTACTCGTAAAATTATTCTAACGTCTGCAGAACTTAGGCTTTTGCTAAAGAAAATCGCGTTCGTTCTTTAAGTGCCCCATTATTTTTGGATTACCCTAATACATGTAGGACAAGATAATAAGGGCAAGCCGTATAGTATTTTATTCGACTCTGGAAAATTGAGATACACTTTAAATGATTACACAAACTATCTGCTGCGGTTTACAAAACTGCGGCGGTTAGTTCAAACAAATTCTGCTGAAAATAGAGATTATAACTAACAAATGATTCTCATTTGAAAAAACTACAATTCTTTGCAAAGCAAAAAGTTAGCACCCTCCGCAAAGTTATAGAAATCATGTAATCAAACTGCAATTTTGAATCTTCTAAAATCAATTGGAAGCCGATAGAATGAGAAGTGCAATCAACTATCAATTTACAATCAATACAATCTAATCGATTATGAGATGCATGAATATCTTAGACAGGAAAAAAATATGTGGAACTTGAGACAAGTCGCGACATCTTCAAATCTTGAATGTCTGTTCAACATTTCTTCCGGTTTCCCATTCCGTTGGTGAAAGTCCTTAGAATGATTCTTCATAATCTGCAAATATAAGTAGATTTAAAAAAATCACTACGTAATATATTCTGGATTCGTTGTTTATCGCTTGGCCACCCCCAACCCGTGGAATACAGCAAACGAGGACAGAGAAGACGGAGAAATTATGATGAAATGTACAGATGTTCATTTTTGGATTGCTGCCAAGTGGCATGCGTTTTGGAACGCTGCCAAATTTCATAGCGAGTGACCAACCATACTTTCGTAAAAGGGTCACACGTATTTCGAAAGGAAATCATGAGTGTCGCAATGATCCAAGATGGGTCGCCAGTATCCGGGTTGTTATTTGTACCTGCTTTTTTCGAGCTTGTTATCCCATAATGTGTCTTTCAAATATGTTGCGCTCCTATTAATTGCTTTTGAATTTATGCCAAATTGCGTAACAGTGTGACTTGAGCTAAATTCATCTATGTTCTTAACTCTTGGTAAAATCTTGCTCCGCTGTAGGCAAGAGAGTGCATGAGTAACTTGGTCTCGTGGTACTTTTGGAAGCATTCATCTAACAACAGCCTTGCTTTTGCTGTAACTGGGTCCCGCTGGTGCTTTCAATTAGGTATCGGTGTGTAAACGGCACGTAGGTCAATTCCATCGGGCAGGGAAACAGATTCTTGTACGTTTGGGGCAGTTCTCAGGATTGAATGTTCTAAAGTGGCATGTACGGCAGTTTGAGAATTCGCCATAAATACTTGATTTCGTTGTTTTCTTTCTGTAAAGTCGTAAGGTTGGTTTTTCTTTCTTCAAGCGGCATCTAAGGCATAAACTTTCTTTTTGAACAGTTACTATCGATATGTAAGCGGCACGTAGGGCAACTCGAACGGGCAGGGAAACAGATTTTTGTACGTTTGGGGCAGTTCTCAAAAATGAAGGTCCTAATTTGTCATGTACGGCAATATGAGAATAAGCTGTGAGTAATCGTAAGCTTGGTTCTTCTTATATATACGGTCTTTAAGCGGCACATAAGGCATAAACTTTTTTTTAAATAGTTACTATCGGTCTGTAAGCGGCACGTAGGGCAACTCGATCGGGCAGGGAAACAGATTTTTGTACATTTGGGGCATTATCGCCTTCAAGCGGCACGTAGGGCAACTTGATCGGACAGGGAAACAAATTTTTTTTATGTTTCTGCAGTTCTTATGATTGACGGTCTTTAGGTGGCTCAGTAGCGTGCTTTTCGGGGAGGGATCTCCTCTTGTAGTAAAGCTTCATATTCCTTTGGCGAGAAAATTGAAGGATTCTCTTTCAAAGTTCTTAGACGATTAATTTCGTTACTGTCGGAATTAATTCTGAGAAAAAAGTGTTTTTTTAGTAAGTACACAATTGTGGTGGGTGTATTTCTACTTCCAAAACGATAGGTGTTTTGCTACTTACTTAACGATCTTTTATGGGACTTGTTGAGAATAACTGGAAGAGCAAATTCTCTTTGAGAGGGTAGAAAAGTGGGGGTTTTTTGAATCTAAATGTCTCTGTGAGAAGGGGAAATTTGCAGAAAGAGGGTGGTAAACGAGAGAAAAATAATATTCTCCATGCATGGTTGCAGCAGAAATTTCGAGAAATGCTGAATGATTTGTGGAGGTTATTGCTTCTTCAAGCAGTTCTCCTGTAGAATGCTTTTCGCAAAAATGTTCTTAGGAAAGGAATAGGAGATTTATTTGGAAATGTTTATAGTCACAACTAAGCCCTTATATTGTATCTGCCCCGACCCACTTGCTAGCCCCGTAGGGTCGCTAGTGAAAACAATGCTTGGAAGTTCAAGCCTGAATGAGGTCATTGAATGCTAGTCGCAAGTCGCTACCAACCCTTAATCATTCAACTTCTTCGTTTTAGAAAAGAAACCATGAACAGTGTAACGAAACATTGTTTTTAAAAGCGCAAAATAACTTTCATATATCAGGTTGTTCCAAAGGTTCTGTTTGATTTTCAGTCGAGCTATTTTCTTAGGTTTTGCACTTATTGTAGTCTTATGAATACCATCTAGGAGAAGTTTTCTTGCTCTTTCCACCGTTTACCATTCTTGATGAAATAGCTTACCAGTGATGAAATTTTGAGCCCCGAAAAGGGTTCCAAACTGCAGTCATGCCAAAGAAAAATTTTTGTGAAGAGATTTTCCGCAGTGTTGTAAAGTTACCTATGTCACACTTTTCCTTGCACATAGAAAATGTCTTACTTTTTTTCAAGGATTGAAGACAAACTCATTCATTCACCAAGCAACAAAATCTACGTACAGCGGTTGGTAATGTACTTGGAAACGCATATGTTAGAGTAAAGCGAGAGCAAACAGAGATCACCAACCAATTAGCTTTCTTCGTTCGCGACAGCAAGAAAAAAATGAAATATCAGAAAGGCGGCATAATTGCGCGCGCGGAGGAGGGCAAAATTTCTAGGCAGCAAAGACAACTCAAGTTCTCTTTAGCCGTAAAATAATTTGTGATGTATAGTTTACCTGATGACGGTAGCCAAATATGTCTGGCTCTTCATATATGGGAGCATTAGTATGTCAAAATAAGCGGTCCTAAAGGAACCTGCAGACTTCTCCAAATTTCCTTTTTTCTCTCATTTGTTTTTACATTGCATAATTTGTGGTAGCAATCCCGCTTGATCTGGCAAAATTGATTGGTTGAAAAATGTTGATTTCGAAAAGATTAGGACATTTTGAATCGCAAAAACCGCAGACTGGACAGAACTTTCGAAAAAAGCTAGTATTTCCATGGAAAATAAACTTTGAAGATGAAAGCGCAGTGGTTTTTGAATTGGCTGACGGTAAGAGTTTTGTAATTTATAGCCGAAGAAGCTGAAATTTATGCCTATTCGTACCACACCCTTTACCATTTCACGAACACTACTTGGACATAGCTGATTATTCAACATGGATTGTTGATGTGTATGAAATATACTGATGGAGACCAAGTTCAAACTGATTCACTTTCCTCGCAAATTGCACATAGACAGGAAAAGTACCGACAGAAATTTAGAAGTTGCCTAATACACAAAGGTAAAATGAAGGCTGGTCTTGAGAACATTTCAGTCACCCGATATCTCAGCAAAATTGATACAAACTGATTAAAAAAGTACCCATAAAAAACAATCGATTGGAATATGCAGGCCCTTGAAAAAGGGTCGCATAGCTCTAAATAGAATTCTGGCATTCAGTCAAATTCCTACTTCCTTTATTCATAACATGAAGTCCCAATTCTCCGAAGATCAAGATAAATACACGAGCAGGTTATTGTCATTGATGGACAAATATTAGGTTGTCCCGAAAGTTTTGTCCGTTTTTTCAACCTATCATAAAAATACGTGGAACAAAGATAGGGAAACGCTCTAAGCACTATCCGACGCATCTTTTCCTCCTCTTTCTAACAGTCATGTTTCCATGCCGATTACTCTTTTGATCATTGAGATAAACGCCGAAATTTCGAACACATGTTTCTACTATGTCCAAGTTTGACAATGTTTCACAATCTTCATTTTCGACTTTTGGAAGACCTTTGATAGCCCTCAGATAGAGTAAGCCAAGGGCAATGCAATGCAATTATTTGGCATTTCTAGCTGGCTTTTCAGTATTTTTAAAGATAATTTGTTCAAAAGTCTTCACTTTTGCGAAGTTCTAAAATACAGAAACGCCTCGAACACTAACAAATCATCGGATTTTGAAGCTTTCAGAAACCGATTACGATTATTCACTATTTTTACGAAGCAAACGAAGCAAATGAGCGTTTACCGCTTCGAAATATAGGGCTTTGTATTTTACGTGTACACGCTGGGGTGGGGTCAAATTCAAGAATTATGGAAAATTTTATCGCCAAAGACCCCGCAAATTGGAGAGAAAATAAACTTGCTGGAAAGAGGAGGAAAAGCTGCATCGAATAACACCTTAGTTGTGCGCCGTTTCATGATCTCTGGCTTTTGGCATCACCAAAAGTGGAATTTGATAGCATCAGAAAAATAATTCTAAAAAATTTTCAAGGCTGGCTATAGATGCCGCAAAATCGCATTATATTGCCCTTTGTTTGCTCTATCTAACTGTTGCCAAAGCTTTTCCGAAAGTCAAATAAAGATTGTGAAAAATTGCCAAACTTGGACATAGTAAAAACCATGGGTTCGAAATTTCGGCGTTTATCTCAGTGAACAAAAGATTAATCGGCATGGAAGCATGACTGTTAGAAAGAGAAGGAAAAGATAGGATAGTGCTTAGAGCGTTTGCCTATCTTCGTTCCACGCGTTTTTATAATAGGTTGAAAAAACGGACAAAACTTTCGGGACAACCTAATACTATAAACTAAGCTCAGTTTTTGATAGGTGACCTGATACAAAACAATCGGCCAAACCTCATTTTCTTTGAGAAACGAAACACCCTCTGAGAAATAACGTATTATAAATAAAGGGACGTCACCTGTTACCGAAGAGGGCAGGGGTAAGTAACGGAGTTCTTCAGCCGGCCACAGTAGTTCTAAATAGAATTCATTTAAGAAGTGATCAGTGTTGACGTGGAAAGTAAAATTTTTTGTACTGCAGAGGGACTATACATCGTGATGAATGCTGTCTTTGAATTGGACCCATACCTTCAAAATTTCGTGAAGCCTTAATCACAAGACTTATCAACTTTCGCCAGCAGACGTAATATTAAGTGCTTGATATTTACTAATATATAAAGCGATGGAGCGATACATTAAACAAGGATCCCTGACGACAAAGAAAGGTCTTTCCATGTTTTATACGAAAACAACCGTGCTCTGGTTTTCTTTAAGGGCCGCATGCACTAACATCCCCGCGAGGAGGGGATCGCAGCTTAAAATAAAGCTTTATATTTCGAAACTCCAGATACCTGGATTTCACGTTGTGTACCTATCCGTAAGTATTCCTACTACCCTTCACTATGAACATGTTGAAGAGGAGCGAGAAGCTGTACGAACCGCATTTTCCAGCTTTTGTATGATCCCTGATGATCCCCGGCGCTTTTCTTTAAAGTCATTTTTCTTTCTGCGAAGTTAACGAAAAACCTCCAAAGTCGTGCAGATTATCTAAACCGACAGTGCTAAGCATGTTGCTGATAAGAACAAATGATGTTTTCAAGTCATGAAATTTTCGATGATTCACAGGTCGAAATCGATGTTCAGTGCAACTTTGGAAGGTTTTCGTTAACTTCGAAGAAAGAAAAATGACTTTAAAGAAAAGCGCCGGGGATCATCGGGGATCATACAAAAGCTGGAAAATGCGGTTCGTACAGCTTCTCGCTCCTGTTCAGCATGTTCATAGTGAAGGGTAGTAGGAATACTTACGGACAGGTATCGTCGTCTCCGCGGTGTACGTTGGGCGGAGCTTTTGCAGACACCTGAACATGTTGGTGAACTTGTTAACCCTCTACTGCAAGGCATGTTTATTTGTGATCTCTCGCTACCAACTCTACCACGTATGACAACTGCATACAGGGTTGAGCGTGGGGTCAGGCGCGCCCGACCTGGGGGGTCGTACTGGGGTAAAACAGAGGGGGGGGGGTCGTGATTAGGAATCGAATTCGTTCGGTTGAGCAGATACTACGATTAAGGTGAAGAAGAAAAGCGCAAGTTTAGTGGATATTGCGACCTCACCAGTACTGAAGGAATGAACGGTTTTAAACAGCATACTGATTGATTCCACAATCGAAGTTTCGGCCAAAACTCAAATCTTCATCTTCTACCTTTACATATTATAAATTCATCAAGGAAGCTTGCTGTGTGAAATGGGTATCATTTCCGAGCACGTCAAATTACCTCTATGAGCCCTACAAACCATTATTTACTGCACATCTAGTGTTTCTCAACGACTAAAAAGCGTGGTTTTCAAACATGATTAACTTGTTTTCAAAAGTGAGAAAAGTCAATTTTTTTGTACTCGTAACAAAGTATTGTTCCCTACTAGTCTAGGCTAAAAATCGCGCTTTGTATCGCTTGCAAATAGTGGAGTAAGAAATAATGCCAAAATTCCGACCGGCGCGTTTTTCGCCATGACTGCTTCAACTCCACGGATTACCACAAGGCCGAAACAAGTCGAATCAAGTCCAAACACTTACTGTGGAATCTTCGAGGGTTGTGCTAGCGATTCACATAAAACTTGAATAAAAAAGCTTCTTCAATGATAAAGTTAATCGGGTCAGGCGCAACCCCACAAAAGGTCAGGCCGCCTGAGCTTTTGAGGGGTTGCGCCTGACCCGATTAACTTGTTTTCAAAATCTAAAAATCGCTCCATTTCTGCTACGAGTATTGAACTCAAAGCCTCTTCTTGCAATACTGCAAATTTGGAGCCAAACAATACACCCCTGTGGGAATTATAGCTCTAAAAGTAGGGCTATCCAAAATCCAAAACTTGCCGTCAAGTTGCGTGTGCTGTGCAATCGCAGAAAGTCGACCTACAGACCTCCAAAAAACAAGAACCTCCCAAAAACGGCTGATCTCTTCGAATTATCACAGCCTGAGGTCCTGGAGGTGAAGCAGAGGGGTCGTTTAGGGGCTTTCACTGGGGGGGGGGGGGTCGTTTTGGAAAGACTTGTGCCTGACCTCTTGCTCAACCCTGACTGCATATCTACATGGCAGTTTAGAGACTACGAAGGAGCATGCTTTGCGGTAGAGGTTTAACAGGTCACCAACGTGTTGAAATGTCCGCAAATGCTCCGCCCAACGTACACCGGGGAGACGGCGATACACAATGTGAAATCCAGGTATCTGGAGTTTTGAAATATAAAGCTTTCTTTTAAGCTGCAATCTCCTCCCCAGCGGGGAGGTTAGTGCATGCGGCCCTAAGTCATTGTAGGCCGCATGAAACCTCTATATACCGCTGCTAGTGATTTTATAGCTTTTAGAATGGCGATCACAGCTTTGAAATAAACTTAATCGCCATTTTTGGAATGAAATCAGTCAATTACTGGTAGCCCACTATGATACTAGCTCCTCTCTCACGATCATATCAAATTCTGCCTGATCATGCTGAAATGAACTAGAAAAAAACATTTCGATATATAATGGTTTACGGAAAACGTAAAATGGGGCCCGCCAAAGGGCGCACAATCTTTTGAAAAGAACAAAAAATGGGCTACATGATCGTAAACTTCAAACCGTTCCAATAGATTTCGCTTATTTGAGAACAGAAGGCCAAGCGCAGAAGAACAGAACAAGCGCCACAGCCTGCTCATCAAAGACTCTCGAAAGATCTCAATCACATTCGATAGGACTTTTTATCCTCTTTCAAAGGAGAAGTTCAGGTAATGCTCGTATAGGGGGAATCCTCAGGATACAAAACTATGTGTTTCTACTTTTCATATCTCACCATAATCTTTTGATGGAATTTTTGTCATAACCGCAGGACTTTCGCATTCTTACGTCAGACACGAAGCTTCAAAAACACCAATAAATCTCTGGAAGTGAAACTTTTTAGGACTATCAGGGTTTATCATTTATTTAACAAAGCAAATTATCAAATTTTGAATTTGTCGGGTACAATTTGGGTGAGTTTGAAAATATGTATGGTAACGATTTTATCCCCAAAGACCTCATGAATCGGAGACCAAAAATACTTATTAGAAAGAGATAGGATCAAAAAAAAAGCTTCAAATGACACCAGATTTGCTGGCCGGTTGATGTTGTACGAGATTTCAGTTAACCAAGTATGTAACTGGTGGTACCAAATAAAATTCCATGAAAAAACATGACGAGCTATAGAAAGGAGTAAAAACCGTTCTGCACCCTGTGTGGCCCACTCTATCTACATGCTACTTGATTCTCTAAGTAATAGATACAAAATCTAAAAACAGGAAATTTGACGAGGCAAAAACCATGGATCGTGTTCTTTGGTGATTTTCTGAGACCTCGTTGGATATACTGCAATGCGATCATGGCTTTGCGAAAGAAATGAAAAGCTATACCAAATGCAACCGGGCTCTTTCGAGCACCTTTGATGATGGCGTTATTTTAAAAAGACGAAATTATCAGAACTGATAAGTAAATTCGTCTTGACATGCAAATCTAAAGCTTCATAACAATTTACGTAAGTGTTATTCAGCTGAGATCATTTCGTAAAAACATAGCTTCATGTTTCTACTCGCAAATATTGAGTAGTCATGATTTTTTTGTCACCAAAAAATGACAGTCATACCCTTATATGCTCAGACTATTGAAAAATAGCTTTTTTCACCTCTTAATTTTCTCAGCTTGCAGTGAGTACACAGGCAAGTAATTTTTTGGCTAGATACACACAGCTTCTGGCTAGGTGGCGAACCACATGAAGATCACATGTGATCTGCTGTCTCTGAATTTCTGCAGCCAAAAATGTGAAAATTTCCAGGCATTTGTGCGTAAAAGTCAAATTTTGGGCATTCCAGACTGCTCGAATCGATCATGCAAAGGCTGAGACTGATAATTGTTATGTGGGTAAGGAACCTACATCCTAAACCTGACTTTAGTTCGTGTTTTCGGAGCATGGTTTGTCGAAATTTTGAGGAAAAATCTGACTATTCTTCATTTCTGCACCATTTCGTTACCAAAAAATATTTTTGAGAAAACATAATCAATATTCCAATTCCCCTTGAGCTCTTTCCAAAAGTGCTATACATACATACGAATACTGATTTGTGCCAATTTTACAAGCCGCTAAAAACGACCGAACTTATGTTTTAGCCAACCTAGTACTTTCGAAACGACACAATAAATCAATGCTTCTTGACAACTATTTACCATGCCGTGTATACGCTTAATTTTGCAGATTTCTTCATAAGCCTTTATGCCGCAGCCATGCTGCAGCGATATTATATAACGATAAAGTATGAAGATGGGCAGTACAAGAATGAAGTATGATTTGTAATGTTGCACAAGGAACAAACCTTCATAGTAAACCGTTTCTTTAACGTTTTTGGTTTGCGGCTCCGTCGCTTTCGCGTAACTTTCGTGTAAGGTTTCTTCGAACTCTCTGATTGGTGCTTGAAAGTGGGGTTCTCGCGGCTCTTCAGCCGCGTATACAGGCGTGCGCCCTACGAAATTTTCGGGCTCTCTCCTTCCATGAGCGGTTGATGTTTCAGGTTCGTCATATTGAACACCTCCTCTTCTGGCTTCGCGTGACTCCCAGTCTACGGCGAAGGGATCCTTAAAAGATGATTGATCAATCAGTATGAAAATCAACATGGAACACGTTGAATTTAAAGTCCGATGATGTGGTTTTTTTTCAGAAACGATCATCTGCGCGATAGGCGCGAACAGTTTTACACTTAGTTGAAATTCTAGCACATTATTTTGCACTACGCTTTAGGCCGCATGCATGCACAAAGGGAAGCGACTGAAAATGCAAAACTTATTTATTTATTTATTTATTTATTTATTTACTTACTTATTTACTTATTTATCTATTTATTTATTTACTAGCTGGCTTACCCGGCTCCGCCGTATCCGGACCAAACTTGGCACACATACACTTCGGGCCCCGGCGGGTGTCACAGTCCACTTTTCGTTATCGATCGATGTCGATTTTACCGATTTTTATCGATTTTTTTGCAGAGTTCACCTACAGGGCTAGGAGTTGGCACAGGGGGGGGGGGAAGTGAGCATGGGGATTCCGAATACAACATTAGTTTTCAGGATCGTCCATTACTTTTATCGATTTTATCGATTTTTTTTGTAAAGTTCGACCTGCGGGGCTGGGAGTTTGCACAGGGGGGTAATAGAGCATGCAGATTACGAACACAATATTAGTTTCCAGGATCGTCCATTACTTTTTCGATTTTATCGAAAATTTATTCAAAAATTTTATTTTTTTGAAAATTTGAGCTAGGGGGCTGGAATTTGGCACAGGAGTGTAATCGAGCATGCTGATCACCCCCTTGGGGATGATCAGCATGCTCGATTACCCCCCTGTGCCAACTCCCAGCCCCCTAGCTCAAACTTTGCAAAAAATCGATAAAATCGATAAAAGTAATCGATAAATCCGAAAACCAATATTGTATTCGGAATCCCCATGCTCGATTAACCCCCTGCGCGAACTCCCAGCCCCGTAGCTCAAACTTTGCAAAAAAATCGATAAAATCGATAAAAGTAATCGATAATCCTGAAAACCAATATCGTATTCGGAATCCCCATGCTCGATTACCCCCCTGTGCCAACTCCCAGCCCCGTAGGTGAACTCAGCAAAAAAATCGATAAAAATCGATAAAATCGATATCGGTCGATGACGAAAAGTAGCCTATGACACCCGCCGGGGCCCGTAGTGTATGTGTGCCAAGTTTGGTCCGGATCGGTTCAGAAATGGAATTTTCTATTCGGAACATACGTACACACATACAGACAGACAGACAGACAGGCAGACAGACAGACAGACATACAGACATACATACAAACAGACATTCAGCTTTATATATAAGACTAGCGACCCTACGGGTCGCTAGTAAGTGGGTGGGGGGAGATACATTGATATCTGGCTGTGTATAACTAAGACAAGAAACAGAATTTCCATCTTTTCACCGACCTTTCGCGTGTCAGTAGTAGTAGAAACAAGACACCATGCTCTTGAGTAAAGAACCTACCACCAATGACTTATTATCTGCAAAGCATCTTTGCTATTCCTCTCGCAGATACCTTAGCTCCAGACCACAGCCCAGGAAGAAGAAAGATACCTAGGGCCGCATGCACGAACAGGAGAGTTGGGGAGGGGATCGCAGCTTAAAAGAAAGCTTCATATCCTGAAGCTCCGAACTTCTGGATTTCACGCTGTCTACCTGTCCGTAAGTATTCCTACCATCCTTCACTATGAACATACTGAACAGGAGCGAGAAGCTGAACAAGCGGATTTTTAGAGCTTTTTGTACGATCCCCTAGTGATCCCCGGGGAACGACCGCCACTTCTTTAGGCCCGTATGCACGAACATTCCTGCGGCAAAGTTGTACTGCTTATCTAACCCAACAGTGCTAATCATATTTCTGGTAAGAACAATTGATGTTTTGAAGTCATGAAATTTTCGATGATCCACAGGTCGAAATTTGAGGTTTACCGGAAAATTCGACTTTTCAAAAACTCATTTGTTCTCATCAACAACATGCTTAGCACTGTTGTATTAGATGTTCAGTACAACTTTGGATGGTTTTCGTTAACTTCGCAAAAAGAAAAATGACTTTAAAGAAGAACCGGTCGTCCCCCGGGGATCACCAGGGGATCGTACAAAAAGCTGGAAAAAACGGCTTGTACAGCTTCTTGCTCCTGTTCAATATGTTCATAGTAAAGGGTGGTAGGAATACTTACGGACAGGTAGACAGCGTGAAATCCAGAACTTCGGAGCTTCAGGATATGAAGCTTTCTTCTGAAGCTGCGATCCCCTCCCCAGCTCCCCTGTTCGTGCATGCGGCCCCTAGAGTAGCGAGATATGCCGCATTCTCAAATCCCCTCTCCTCCCCAGCGTACGTGCATACCCTAGCGAGACTGTCCTGTCGCATAAAACCCTGGGTCTATCCTTCCCTCGAATCCAAGGTCCTTGTGCTTTTTTGCTTTTAGGAGCAGAAGCGTGGTTTTTGGGAAGTTGAAGGGGCCAAAAATCTTGGCGAATATGTGAATCCTTGTGGTCCTTGTGCTTTTTTGCTTTTAGGAGCAGAAGCGTGGTTTTTGGGAAGTTGAAGGGGCCAAAAATCTTGGCGAATATGTATCTTCTTGCGAATAATCTTCGCAAGAAGCTCATGGCTCTGTCCTTCCTTCGAAACCAGATTCCCTGTGCTTTTCTGTCTTTAAGGGCAGAAGTTTGGTTTTTGCGAAGTTTAAGTTTTCTGCCTCCACGGGCAGAAGTTTGGTTTTTGCGACGTAGAGGGGGGCAGAAGTGAATTTCAAGCAAGTTTCTGTATGATGAAACATTGATAACTGAAAATGGTTAGCGGAAATACATTGCCGCCTGAGCCCATGAATCTTTTTTCCCTCGAAACCAAACTTCCTGTGCTTTTCTGCTTTCAGGGGCAGAAGTGTGGTTTTTGCGAAGTTTAAGGGCCAAGAGTCTTAGCGAGTATGTCCTGTCGCAAGTAGCTCATGGGCCTGTCCTTCCCTCGAGATCAAATTCCCTGTGCTCTTCTGCCCTGAAGGGCAGAACTTTGGTTTTTGCGATGTTGAAGGGGGCAAAAGTGAATTCTAGGCAAATTTCTGTATAATCAAACATTGATAAATGAAAATTGTTAGAAAAAATATTTGCCGCTTGAGCCCATGATTCGTTTTTCTCTCGAAATCAAACTCCCTGTGTTTTTCTGCTTTCAGGGGTAGAAGTGTGGTAAGTGTGGTTTTTGCGAAGTTTAAGGGCCAAAAATCTTAGCGAATATGTCGTGTCGCAAGAAGCTCATGGGCCTGTCCTTCCTCGAGACCAAATTCCTTGTGCTTTTCTGCCTCCAGGGGCAGAAGTTTGGTTTTTGCTGTAGAAGGGAGCAGAAGTGAATTTCAAGCAAGTTATTGTATAATTGAATATTGACAGCTGAAAATTGTTAGAGAAAATATTTGCCGCTTAAGCCCATGATTCTTTTTTTCCCTCGAAATCAAACTCCCTGTGCTTTTCTGCTTTCAGGGGCAGAAGTGTGGTTTTTGCGAAGTTTAAGGGCCGAAAGTCTTAGCGACGTCCTGTCGCAAGAAGCTCATGGGCCTGTCCTTCCCTCGAGAGCAAATTCCCTGTGCTTTTCTGCCCTGAAGGGCAGAAGTTTGGTTTTTGCGATGTTGAAGGGAGCAGAAGTGAATTTCAAGGAAGTTATTGTATAATTGAACATTGACAGCTGAAAGTTCTCAGCGAAAATATATTGCCGCCTGAGCCCATGGTTCCTTTTTCTTTCGAGACCAAATCCCTGCGCTTTTTTGCTCTCAGGGCAAAAGTGTGGTTTTTGCAAAGTTGGAGGGGCCAAAAGTCTTAGCGAATATGTCGTGTCGCAAGAAGCTCATGGGCCTGTCCTTCCCTCGAGACCAAATTCCCTGTGCTTTTCTGTCTCCAGGGGCAGAAGTTTGGTTTTTGCGATGTAGAGGGGGGCAGAAGTGAATTCCAAGCAAGTTATTGTATAGTTGAATATTGACAGCTGAAAATTCTTAGCGAAAATATATTGCCGCCTGAGCCCATGATTCTATTTTCTTTCGAAACCAAATCCCTGTGCTTTTTTGCTTTCAAAGCAGAAGTTTGGTTTTTGCGAAGGAGGGGCCAAAAGTCTTAGCGAATATGTCCTGTCGCAAGAAGCTCATGGGCCCGTCCTTTCCTCGAGACCAAGAATTAGTGCATTGCGAGAACAGTAAATGCTAACACAGAGGGTAAGGTGGATGGAAAGCATTCCATACCATATACTTCGCATATTTTGTTTTCAAGGATTAATAGTATGGAATGCTCGATGACCACCCTTCTCTCATGCAGAGAGAAAGCGCTTGTGTGAGACGAATAGTTCTCAGTGAGATTCACATTTTCAAAAAATACAAAACTTCTCACAAAGAAGAAGCCATTCGAGCGATTCGCCCATCATTGGTGCAGCACCAGCGACACGATATCGCTCAATTCCAGCGATATCGCGAAGATAACGTTGGCGAAAGTATGCTCGTCCAAAAATGGCGCGCGATTCCAGTCGCTGCGCGATTTCCATGTCGGACATAAATTCCGAGTCCGCCGCGTCGGCGCGCTTAACTGTGGTCGCCCCGCGTTTGTGTTGGATTGACGCACCCCATACCGTATACCTACCGTTACCCCTCAAGAATGGCCCACCACGCAAAATGGATATCATTTTCGTGATCAGCAGGTCGAATAGCCCCCTAAGCGAAGTTTCAGCGAGAACCGTGATTTTCAATTTTTGAAGTGGAATAGCGCCCAAACATTTTAACCAACTTGGTTGCTTGAAGACAAAGAAGGCAATGTCAGAAAATCCAACATTAAAAACTTCTATGATTAAAAGCACAAGAAGGCATGAAGAATGAGACAAAAAAGAATAAATCAATCATCCAAGGTTGTTGTGTGGAAAACTTCATGTCTGCCTAATTGTTTAGAAAAGTAGGACAAATCTCAAAGACTGCAAAATACACAACATTGCTGGATACTATCCCACTTAACAGACCTCAAAAATCAAGAACCACAATTTTGCTAAAAATTCGCCCAAGGAAAGGAAAGGGG